GTTTTGTAGAGAATTTAACGACGCATCTTTTACAATAAGAATCAGCTCTAAAGTTCACAAAGAAAAAAAAGTTATAGTCAAAATACTGAGAGGGTCATTTATTATGGGCCACCCGTTATATATATGGTGTTAAGAACAGATTTAGGGTTAAGAATAGGTTTAAGGAGTTAAGGATAGATTTAAGGAGTTAAGGATAGATTTAAGGAGTTAAGGATAGATTTAGGCTTAGGAATAGATTTAGACTTAGGAATAGATTTAAGGGGTTAAAGTTAGATTTAAGGGGTTAAGGGTAGACTTAGGATTAAGAATAGGTTTAAGGAGTTAAGGATAGATTTAGGGCTAAGAATAGATTTAAGGTGTTAAGGTTAGATTTAAGGGGTTACGGTTAGATTTAAGGTGTTAAGGATAGATTTAAGGTTAAGGATAGATTCAAGGGTTAAGGATAGATTTAGGGTTAAGAATAGGTTTAAGGAGTTAAGGATAGATTTAGGGATAAGAATAGATTTAAGGGGTTAAGGATAGATTTAGAGTTAAGGATAGATTCAAGGGTTAAGGATCGATTTAAGGGTTAAGGATCGATTTAAGGGTTAAGGTTAGATATAGGGTCAAAAATAGATGTAATGGGTTAAGGATAGATTTAGGATTAAGAATAGGTTTAAGGAGTTAAGGATAGATTTAAGGGGTTAAGGATAGATTTAAGGTGTTAAGGTTAGATATAGGGTTAGAAATAGATTTAAGGTGTTAAGGATAGATTTAAGGGGTTAAGAATAGATGTAAGGAGTTAAGGATAGATTTAAGGTTTAAGAATAGGTTTAAGGGTTAAGAATAGATTTAAGGGTTAAGAATAGATTTAAGGGGTTTAGGATAGATTTAAGGGGTTAAGAATAGATTTAGGGGATCAAGAATAGATTTAAGGGGTTAAGGATAGATTTAGGGCGAAGAATAAGTTTAAGAGGTGAAGGATAGATAGAGGGTTAAGGATAGATATAAGGGTTAAGGTAGAAATAAGGATGGAACATAGAAACAAGAGATTGGGTAGATAAATAAGAGATCAGATGTAGAAACCAGGGTATGGAACGCTATACGAAACCTTTTCTTTGGGGATCAAAAACAGGTTTGTACGAAACCTGGACCACGAAACCTTTTTTAAGCTAAAAAAAGAGTAGTCGTGTACGAAACCGTTTTCCTACGAAACCTAAAAATGATTTCGAATTCGTTGCAAAGTGGAAAACCCTTTTTTAGTTTCGTGTAAAACCTTTTTTGTTTTCAGTGTACCCCCTTCAGGTATTTAAACATCCCATGAAAAAATTATTTGTAAAAGTTTGCGTTTCAACGCGTTTTTTTCTGGTTCACATGTTTTCGCTAGACTTTAAACGCAGTTTTTAAAACGCGTTGGAACGTGTTTTTTTCCACTATAAACGCAAACAAGCAGTTCGAAAACGTGTTCATTACGGCAGGTTTTGTTGATATAAAACGCGTTTTTTTTCCTATAAAAGCCTTGTTCTATCCCCTTATCTATATTACTTATCTTATCATAGTTACATCATTTTACTTAGGGTTGACCAAAAGTTCGTAGAACGATGTCTAAGTTTTTATAAAATACTGAACATCGAAAGGTTTTTTGTATGAATACTTAGTAAAGTGTCTCGCCTTTAATTCTGACAGTCTTTTAGATCAAGTCTATAGCACAATGAATATACGAATATTCCTTGTCATAGGATTCGAGTATATTTCAGGATTTCGCATTTTTTTTCTTTCCTCCCTCGTATGATATTTTCTGACGTCATATGCACTTAAATATCACATGTAACAGTGTATATATTGAGTGCAAAGTCATCTATTAAATTATTTTATTCGATTCACTTAGTTTTTTTCGTATACCTAAATCAGCATTTTCGATCGATACTTTGTATTAAATATCAAAGTCATCCAAAACCTGTGATAAAATCTGATTTAAATTTTTTTAAATCATTAAAATGACCGATGAATTCAATCGATATTATATTAAAATTCGAACTATTCTGGAAATAGATGCAAAGACAATTTGCGAAGAACTTACAACAGCATTAGGACCTGATGCTCCAGCATATTCAACTGTTGCAAAATGGGCGAAACGTTTTCGTGAAGGGAGAGAGGATGTCAATGATGACTTTCGATCTGGTCGTCCGATTTCGGTACTTACAGATGAAAATATCGAACGGGTTCGACAAGTTATCGAAGATGATCCGCATTCAACGTATGATGATATCATAGCCGATACTTCCCTCTCTCATGGTACAATAGAACGAATCATTCATGATCGTTTAAAGATGAGAAAAATTACATCACGTTGGGTTGCTCACCAACTTACTGACGAACAAAAACAAAAAAGACTTCAAATTTGTCGTCAGAATTTAGAGAAATTTAGGAACGGAACATGGCGATTATGTGATATTATTACCGGCGATGAAACATGGATTTATCACAGACAGATTGATCGCAAGTCAAGCAATTCTACCTGGGTTGGTGAAAATGAACCACCAAGGACCATTGTTCGTCGGAATAGATATGAACCTAGAACACTTTTCTGTCTATTCTTTAAATCCACTGGTCCTCTGCTTATACATAAAGTGGATAAAGGCAAGACTATTGATCACGACTACTATATTGATAATTGTCTTATACCTGTTATCAATGAAATAAGAAAAAAGGAAAAGTCATCACGCACAACATTAAAAATACTTCATGATAATGGTCCTCCTCATGCTCATCAGGATGTTGTTGATTATTTAACAGAGGAATGTATCGAAATCATTCCACATCCGCCATATTCACCAGATCTCGCACCGTGTGACTTTTGGCTAAATGATTATATCAAGAACAAGTTGACTGATCACACAAACGAAGAATCGCTAGCTGAAGAGGTTTCCGCCATAATGAAGAACATTCCAATAAACGAGTTTAAAAAAACTTTTGACAAACTATTAGAAAGAATGGAACTTTGCATAAATAATAATGGTGACTATTTCGAACACTTAATGAAATAAAGCTAAACATAGATCTTTCTTTATATATTTTTATTTGATGTTATAAAAACCTTGGTAAATCCTAAATGTATTCGAATCCTGAACAAGAGATATTCGTATATTCATTGTGCTATAGACTTGATCTAAAAGACTGTCAGAATTAAAGGCGAGACACTTTACTAAGTATTCATACAAAAAATCTTTCGATGTTCAGTATTTTATAAAAACTTAGACATCGTTCTACGAACTTTTGGTCAACCCTAAGTAAGTTCCGTAGAGCAAAAAATAGGTTTCGTAGGAAATTACGAAACCTTTAGGATTTCGCAACAAATATAATGGTTTTATACGAAACCCAGTGCGGAACCTTGAGGTTTACTACAAAACCGTATAAGGCTCCGTAATTTCCTACGAAAGCTATTTTTTGCTCTACGGAACTTAAAAAGGTTCGGAAGAAAAAAGGATCTTCTCGTGTAACGGGGGGAAAATCGTTTAAAGGTTCCGTGGTTTTTTTATTCTATTTTTGAAACTTTGAGCACATCTGCAAGCTTATTGTCATCTACCGAACCTTTTTTTAAGGTTCGGTAAAGTTCCTTTTTTTTTACAGTGTAGACTATCCTACGTCTATAATAGGGGTTATTGAATCAGATGCTAATCATCCTGTCCTGTATTCAACGCGATATTAGACTCTTGTTCATCTTTCATGAGAATATTACCAATTAAGCATACACTGAAAACAAAAAAGGTACTCTACCGAACCCTAAAAGGTATCGTAGACGAAAAAAAGGTTTCGTACACAGTACGGAGCCCAAAGAGGTTTAGAATTCGTTACAAATTTCGGAACTATTTGAAGTTCGGTACAGACGACTAGGAAAAATTCGAAAAGGTGTCCTGACCCAATAACAAACAATTTTAGACAGTTGAAGTTTGGTGCGAAACCTTTCGAGGGTTTCGTATTGCCTATCCAAATGGTTTCGTAGTCATACAATTTCTTCCCTACTGTACCGAACCATTTTGGTACACAATACGAAATTCTGAGAAGGTTTCGTACGAAACTTCGATTGTCTAAAATTGTTTGTTATTGGCTCAGGATACTTTTTCGAATTTTTCCTAGTCGTCTGTACCAAACTTCAAATAGTTCCGAAAATTGTAACGAATTCTAAACCTTTTTAGATTCCGTACTAAGTACGAAACCTTTTTTTCGTCTACGATACCTTTTAGGGTTCGGTAGAGTACCTTTTTTGTTTTCAGTGTAGAGTACTAAAGTTGTAGAACCTGAATACAGAAAAGTATTCGATCTAATACATAAGAACTAGATTTTCTGGGAGCCGCCAACTTTCAAGTCTTAGCCTACTGTCTTTAGAATATTTCAATCTAAGTCACATCATATCGTTTGCTGCTGAATCGAATATTCTATCATCTGATATATGTATAGTTTTATCTAAATCTTTTGATAAAATGAAATATTCATCAAACTATCCAAATAATGAATGGTTATGTAATGATAAAATTGGAGTATTTACACTTTTGAAATTCTGAATTGACGTTATCAAGAAACTTTGGATGAGTAGTTTTGTAGAGCACGATGAAGTATGTCAATTATGTTAGCATCAGTGATGAATCGCACTAATGCTAAACGAAGATTAATATATGCCTTCAAGTCTCACTGGCTTAGGACAACTGCCTGGATAACAGGAAGTGTGAGTTCGAGTCCCAAGAAGGACATATTTTTCGTCGCTCTGTCACCTAACATCAGTGACAGTACTTGTCCTTTTCGTTCCATAGATATTAGAACTCACAGATTAGCATCTGATTCGAAACTATAGATATAAAGTTTTAAAGAAAAATTTCATGTATATAAGTATAGTTTTATACAGAAATTAGGTAAAATATGGTATCAGCAGCCCGTATTCAGGTCTTGCATTCTCCCCGCTCGAATGTTTTAAAGCAATGCCAAATATATGATTCGGTACAGAATTGAACGGGATACAAACGATTATAAAATTTTTTTTTCTTTTGTCAATCGATTTCCCTGTTAGATATTAGTACATAATACAGAAAAATAAAGCAATTTGAATGTGTTGGAAAATCCCTTTTTTTTGAAAAACTTTTTCGACTGTAAATTGAGACGATAGCGTAATGCTATGTATACAATTTTGTAGAGCTGCTCAAGATATATGAATTGGTATATGATTCGATTTGAACAGTAGAAATTTTCCAACCGAAAAATTCAAAAAACGTATCGGTCAATCTTAATATTGATTCTTTGACAGTAAAAACTGTCACAGGATTTTATTTCCACTTAGACAACATTGAAATACAGAATGACAGAAGCTACAGATAAAACTGCATTGGAACACAAATTAAGGGTTCTTTTTAAATCCACAGTTACCTTTGTTAGAGCGTGAAAGCAGGAAAGGTCCACCTTATTTTCATTAGCAACTCTGTTTCTATTGTTTCACAAATGGAATATGTATAATGGAAGTCAGCTGTTGCATAGTGGTCGATAATAATGGCGAATATACCATCCAGCAAATGTGTACAATGCTATTGTTTTTCTTCTTTTTATTCATTTATGTAAATAAAATCTGTTTCAGATTTGAAATTAAATATAAACAATGGCTTCCCTAATTCAGTTTTTCAGTCATCGGATTAAGAGTCTACTCGACCCATATCTGAACAATAATAAAATCGGATCACTGCTGGGATTTGTCGGAGACAAAATACATGTAGAACGCTCATCGATTACATNTAAATGATTTTATATATAACTATTTCGAATCAAAAATAGACAATCTAAGAATTTTCAAGAGTTATTCCAGAAAATTTACTGGAAAATATCATACAATTATAATTATTCTTTAAATAATTACGTAATCTATATATATAAAGAAGAATGTCTGTTAGTTTGTGTGTTTGTTCTTCATGCATTTGGACACGGTACGAGCAAATGCTATGAAACTTTCCAGAAATGGTCTTTACACCTAGGAGAAGGTCGACATGTATTTTTTTCCAGAAAAAAAAACGAATCCTACGCATGCTACAGGCAACCTAGAAAACTGACCAATAGGATTGCAGCATTCGGTACTATAGAACTACTACTGATCTCCACGTCATGAACATACAGAAGATATGGAACCAGAGGTTTTCGAGGGCGTAGAGTTCGAATCTGAGGTCTGATTCCCTCAAAATCTGATTGGTTGTTCGGAAACCAACAGAAATTCAGCTCTTAAGAAAATAGATCCAAATGCTTACAGTTTGATGGAAATGATGGAGCAGGGGTCTTTCGCGGTAGTGAGTTCGAATCTGAGGCCCATTCACCTCGAAATGTGATTGGTTGTTTGGAAACCAATCGAAACTCAGTTCTTAAGAAAATGGGCCTGAACACTTATACGTTGAAGGAAATAATTGGGCAAGTGGTTTTTTAGAGGTAGTGGGTTCGAATCTGGGGCTCATTCGTCTCGAAATCTGATCGGCTGTTTAGCAATCAACAGGAGTTCAGCCCGTAAGAAAATTGACTCAAACACTGATAGTTTCATGAGAATGACGAGGCAGGAAGTCTTAGACGTGATTAATTAGAATCTGAGGTCTGCTCGCCTCGAAATCTGATTGGGTGTCCGAAAGCCAGTAGGAAATCAGCTTCCATGAAGCCAGCTAATCAAAATAATGTTGTCAAGTGAAAAGTAAGGTAAGGGCTTTCTGAGGCAATGAGTTCGAATAAGAGTTTCAAGTACTGAATATAAGAATAGGGTATGGAAGCCCGTTTCTTCTTCTGTTTATATAAATAACGATGTCTGTTTTTCACTTCTTTGTGCATTTGATGTCGGTACTAACTAACGCCATCAAACCTTTTCTGGCATGCCCCTTAGTCTAGAGAAAAATTTAGATGAGACTAACGCAACAAGCAAGGAAAGAAAAGCAAATGGGTAACCCTACCCAGGTTGTAAAAGTCGAAAATTCCTTAATCTCTATCCCTAATATATGTTAAGAGAAAGAATTTTGTCAGGCTGTGGAAAGAGTGACCATTTATTCATACTAGGAACAGCCATGACTCTTACTGATATATCGTTTGAGTTCAAACGTCTTCAGTTACCTGTACCTGCTGCTTTTGCGGTGTCCAACAACAACGCTGAAGAGCAATTGTGTAAAGTGGCTGGTATTAATCTAGAGAGTACTTCCTTTCCTCATGATCAACTGAACGTAGGGGAGGCCAGAATTTCGGGCCAAGGAATTTTCGGCCTGGAACTTTGGCCCGGGCCTAAATTCCGGCGGCGTTTCGGCCCAGGCCGAAATATCACCGGAAATCCGGCCCGGGACGAAATTCATCTCACTGCTGTTAATA